GACTATATTCAACCGCTCATTAAAAGACACCAGCCACTTCAGTTCAACTTTCATTAAAAAGGAAAGAAATTAACTGTTGAACTGCTTTTTTTTTAATCTTCACAGCCTAAACACTAAACTCAAACATGTTCTTGCACCAGCTTTCAGCTTTGGAGCCAAACACAACAAACTTTGGAGTTTTATATCAGCAGCCAAGTCCTCTACCTCGCTGATGGCATGTGCCAAAAGGTCACACAAACATATCACATGGGAAACTTTCCTGACACAATGGAGGGCTCACTTTCATGGCGCAGGGATTTTACTGTACTATGGAAGCAGGCTGGTCATGAATGGGCAGTGGCTGGGATTCACTATAGCCAGGAGCTGATGGCCTCTCTGGCCTGTCCACATGCTTTGTAGTCACATCACCTGCCTCCAGTAGAGTGCCACTTTGAAGGGAACATCCAGCGTGAACAAACTACATCCAGCTATTTCCAAAGTCAGAAAACAAAATAACCAGCCCATTGTAATCTTAATAGTTTAGGTTTATCAGCACTAGTTAATGCTTAAAACCCTGTTTCCACCAAGCAGTATGGTCGGTAAGGTTTGCCGTTTCCACTGTCAAAAGTTGGGAATGGTACCAAACTAAGGGATCTGCACCATCCTACTTTTTTGTTACCCTTCTGTTGGGGCGCCAAGGGGACCGAGCTGACCCTAAAGGTCCCTTTTGTTTAATGTGTCCCATTGTTCTTCTTCGTTTAACTTAATCGGGGCTACACCGTGTTGGCCTGCTATGATGTCACACTATTTGGTAGCTGACGTGTCTCTCTCCATCTGGCTTACAAGGTTTACCATAACGAACTGAACCAAACTGTACTGAACTAAACCAGACCGCTTGGTGGAAAGGGGGCTTTAAAAGACCTGTACAAGAAAAAAGCACAACTCACAACTAGGTGCAAACCCTGGTGTGTCATCATGTAGACTATGCAACACAAGTTTCCATTAATGTTAATCAACAAGATACACATTATCCTGGTAAACAACTAAAAACGTTCTGAAAGATCAATAAAGCAAAGTGTTACTAAGTTGTATTTTAAGGATTTACCATGCATTAGGGTACATTTTTAGCTCAGTGGACGAGTCCACAACTTATTCTACAAGCAAAGGGCCACGATTAAAATGGGGAATACTTACTGTGATAGGTTTTCTTCACATTTTGCATTCAAAAACATTTTTTTTAAGGATTTTCCCTAACCTTTTAGGGGTACTAGAAGGGGGGGGGGGTCTTTGGGACTTGGAAGTGGGGCCAACTGGGCACTTTGGAAAATGGACTTCTGTGTTTTGGGTTTGAAAATACTTCTGGGATGCTTTGCAGACGTTTTACACATTTTTTGGGGGGAACGTTTGTGGATGTTTGGGACGAAGTCAGTGTGGGAACGACTGTGAAACAAAAAGTTAGAAGAATATCTGACAAACAAGATTTTTTAAAATAAAGCTAAATATTAAATTAAATACTGCAAAGCTGATTTGTGTATTATTTAACAATATAATTTGAGGAGATAACAAACTTTTGGGAAGTAAAAACTCAGTAAAATAAAGTTTTTAAGGGAAAATCTCTGAAAGTAAAATTCAGATTTCTCAAAAAAGACCAAGTCGGCCATTTTTAACTGCGTAGTGCTAACGACCTAGCTTCAAGTTGCTTTTACTTCACCCGACAATTTGAGCTGATACACATTTTAAACGTTTCGAATACACCTTTTCAAATAGCTATGACATATTTCTCAACGCTTTACTTTAATTGAACGGTGCAGCGATTGCAAGCGTCAATGAAAAGCAAGTGAAACTGTCGACGAAGCTGTTAGCAGTTAGCTTAGCTTCTCCGCCTCTTCCAACTGCAGCCGTCGAAAGCGTTAGCTCACGATGCTAACGATGCTAGGTTAGCTCACGATGCTAAGTTAGCTCACAATGCTAACGATGCTAGGTTAGCTCACGATGCTAAGTTAGCTCACAATGCTAAAGATGCTAGGTTAGCTAACGAGTTAAAGATGCTAAGGTAGCTAACGATGCTAAGTTAGCTCACGATGCTAAGTTAGCTTTTAAAAAAACAGGCCGACACGATTATAAGACGATTGTTTTGGTATTTTTCAGCGGGTGACTTTAACAGAAGTTGTCACGGCCGTACACTTAAATGATTTACAGTAGATTAGTAACACAACTGTAAACGAGGGGCCGTAGTTTGCCGATGTTTTAACCTCCGTTTACTCGGTTAAAATGGCGGTTTAAAGTGTGTTTTGGTCAGCTGTCTTCACCTCTCTCCTCTCAACTCGTTTTAATCCCTTTGGACAGAAAAAAAAAGAAAAATAAACCCCCGGGCTTCTCTGTGTAGAAAGCACAGGACAAATATAATAATTTGATATAAATATGACTGTAGAATTACTCGACCTTGCGTCAGTCAGGAGACTGGTGTGTTCGTGGTTGGAAGGTGGGGGATGGACAGTCATGCTTTCCATTCTCCTCTGACCTACATCTACAATCTACTGGCTTATGCGTCACTTCAACAGGATCTACTTGTTTGGATTGTTAAAAAAGGAAGAGTTTCTGTTCATAGTAGGCAAATTCTCCACTTAAGTTGTTTAGAGAAATATGATGAAATGGAGTCCTGACGTTCTCCGTCCTACTGTAGCGATGTGAAATGACGACTGGTCTACTTAAAATGGCCGACTCTCTTCTCCGAGGAGGGCGGAAAAAAAAGAGTGGGGGGGCGGGGTTTCCGAGGGTGACGTCACGATGAATAACGCTCGTCTAACGCGTCTCACGGAAATAAACGAAAGGGGATGTGTGTGTTTGTGTGTGTGTGTGTGTGTGTGTGTGTGTGTGTGTGTGTGTGTGTGTGTGTGTGTGTGTGTGTGTGTGTGTGTGTGTGGATAAAAACGCGCCCCTGAGTTTGACTTGCAGGAGCACTTGCCGAACAAGAAGTGACTTAGGATAGGATAAAACTTTATTGATCCCCAGAGGGGAAATTCAGGCGTTGCAGCAGCACAGACAAGAAAGCTCAAAAATACTCATTAAACAGAATAGATAAGATAAATAAAAATAAAAACAGAGGGTATATACAAGTACAAAATGAATGATGAAGTTAGAAGTTATGATGGAGTTGAGACAAGATGAAGTGACAAGTGATGATTAAAGTGACTTGGTGTGATAAATAGCAGCAAGTGATGTAAACAGCAGAGAAGAGAGGCAGTGTTGTACCACAGTAATGCAGAGTGCAGTTATATAATATAATATAGTATAATATAATATAATATTGTGCAATATGAACAATATAGTGTAATATAATTAAATGTTATATAATATAGACTAATATAATAAAAATACATAGAATGTACAGTATATATGTATGTATATATATAGATGCTAAATAATAATAATAATACAATGTTAGTAATGATAACAATGAAGCAGGTCGTCATGTGGGTAGTGTTTTATGGGGGTGAAGTTACTGGTGTCATAGGCTGCTGTTGTACAGTCTTACCACTGACTTCAGTTATCACTTCTACTTTGTATCTGTTCATTTTTATACAACTTCTCTAGTGTTTTTTCTGTTTTTGTTTCGTCTTGCATAAATATAAACTTGAGTTTTATGTTTTTATTTATTTACTTATTTTTTCTGCCCCCCCCATTTTTTTTCTTTGCATGTTTGTTTTTTCCCCCAGTTTTTTTTGTTTTTATTGTTGTTGTTTTGTTTTGTTTTCATTTCTTTTTTCTCTCTGTGTGCCTGTAAAATTGTCCTCCCCGTTTTGTCCTTTGTCTCACTATTTGTTTTGTTATTGTTTTTTTGTTACAAAACGGATTAATATGCTACTGGGAGGTTTTCAAGATATTAATGATGACATGTTGTAGTTGTTAAAATAGAAAGTATACCACATATAAATTACTTTAAACCAGAAGGCCGTCTCTTGTAGCCTAGTCTGAACAAATATCCCAACCAAGTTTAATGAGAATAAATTCAAGAAAAATGAATCATAGAATTTTGCCTTTAAAGGTGCACTGTGGATTTTTGATATAGAGAAAAGTGAAAGTTGGAGAAATGTACAGATTCTGTGGTATATGTTCATAACTTTATACACAAACTGTCCTCAGAGGGAAATCTTGTCCCTGGAACACTTTGAAGATAAAATGCTAAACGATGAGTTTGGGTGGGGGGTCCGCAACAGTGACAGCGTAACTCTCCTGGTAGCTTTTTAGCTCCAAACAGTGTTCAGGGACCCATTTTTTCCTTGGAATAAAATTTGTGTGTTCAGTTCAGAAAATATAGCATAGACTTGTTTCACTTCTCCACCTTTGAAAATTCACCACCAAATCTACATAGTGCACCTTTAATTAAACATATGAGAGAATGTAGGAACAAAGATACAAACAGTTAACAAAGCGGTTCAGAAATATGTAAAATATGAGCTTTACCTAATAGAGCCGTGCAGATTTGATGCATTAGTACTGCGGTATAACGATACTGACAATGAAGGGCCCATTGAAAAACAGTGATTAAAACTACGTTTTTAATTGAGACTGTTGCAACACGTGCTATATTTGTCCTCTGAAACAAATACAAAAGGAAGTCCTTCAAAAAGGTTTTAGTTCTGTTTGTTCAAGACAAAACTCAGGGGGAAATTAACCCACCATTATATTCATATTTGTTGGATTTTGTCCATAGACTGGTTTTGCCCCATTTTCTAATGTTATACTGAGGGCTCGGTGGCCGACGTTAACTTATGTGGGAAGCGAAATATTTATTATGTACCTCGTTTTTAGAATGCAGTGTAAACACAAACATGTTCTATCACATCTTCCTCTCATATAAAACTGTTGTATAAAATAAAACCGGAAGTAATTAAATAAGAGAATCAACACATTTTAACTCATTTATCAAAGAGTAACAGCGATTTAAACCTTAATATTTACAGTTTATGGATTTTTACGCAGAGAAAAAAAAATCTATTGTTTCGTCCTGTCTACGTCATCACCCCGCGCCCATTCAGCGGGACTGTCGCGGCATTTGAAACATTTACATCTGTAGCTGCATTGAAAAGGCAACTTTTCAGCTTTTTTTCTCCGAGTCTTTGAGAGTGAAAATGATCGACACGATCGAGAAGGAAGACCCGGTCATCAGCGAGGAGGAAGCGGCACAGTACGACCGCCAGATCCGGTTGTGGGGTCTAGATGCCCAAAAGAGGTCAGTTAGCTTCGTTAGCCCGGCAGAGGCTAACCTGTGCAGCGGGAGGGCTGAAGGGAAACTGTGTGAACGCACCAGCAGAGTTCATTTAACTAGTTATACAATTTACAGACAGTTTTCATTGAATTACTATTGGATGTGTTTTGGATGTGTTTATAAGGGGAAGTCGGTTCATATGATTCTCGGGGTCTTTGTTTTGTCCACACAACGAAACAAGTTAAACAATAAACATCTTACAATAACATTAGCTATTTAATTATTGCTTAAATCTAATAATTTAGTGCATGGTCATAGTACAGTATGGAGGACTAACAGTGCCCAAATGAAATATATAAATATATAATTAATTAAATCATTAAATGTGTCATCAGTTATTAAATAATTATTTAATCTAATTTAGTTATTAAATAATTATTTAATAACACATGCATTTAATTATTATTTAATGATTAATGTTATTAAATAATTATTTTTATTTAATAACGTTAATAATTAAATAATAATTATATGCATGTGTTATTAAATAATTATTTAATAACACATGCATTTAATTAATGGAATAATTAGATATTTATTTATATATTTGTTGATTCATTTCCAATATTAAATAATTAATGACACATTTAATGATTTAATTAATTATATATTTATGTATTTCATTTTGGCACTTTTAGTCCTCCATAGCTGCACCTTAACTTCAGACTATAATACAAATATCCCATGGCAATAGAAAACATAAACCCTGAAATTAATCTTTTTTGTTTTTATCAAGACTTGTTGTTGATTATTTTAATAGCGAAGCATGTTTTCAATCTGCATGTTGTTACTGAATTTGTCTCTCCATGTCGTATAAAAATATCTTTACTGAAAATTATTAATCAGACCTACAATATATAGGATATGTCTATTATTGAATTTGTTAAAAACACAACCTATACATTACATAATCATATCCCAAATGTGCAAATAATTCTTCCTCAGCATTACATGAAGTCATTTTTTCTGCATCTGTTTGTCCTTCTCTGTGCAGGTTGCGAGGGTCCAGAGTTCTGCTGGCAGGTTTAGGGGGTCTAGGGGCTGAAGTGGCCAAGAATTTGATTCTTGCTGGAGTTAAGGGACTCACTCTGCTGGATCATGAAAAGGTATACAGGCTCATACAGAGCATACAGGACCCATAGAGTTAAACGTCAGAGAACATGTTCAGGTGCTCTCTGTCCTCATCAGATCAGTGTCATGCACAGAGCAACTTTGATGGATTCAGGCTGAAACAAGAAGTCATTGTTTTCAGCTGTTAATGACATGTATACATCGCTTATTTATGGCTTCAAAAAAGTAATGGATTAGTAGATGGCTTGAGTTGGAAGTTCATTAGATGGTGCTTGTTGCAAAAGTAAAAGTTTACAAGCCAGCTACTTTGCAGGTCATTTTTTTTATTGGGGAGTAACCAATAACCTTCTGTTTGAACCAAGTGGACCTGTGCAACTAAATCGTACTTATATTTTGAAAACTGTATTTCATTAAAAGAATGAAACATCCAACTTTCCTAAAAGTAAGATAAAGACTGACTTTGTACCGAGTGAATCATTTTAAACTAAGTCTCCTTGTAAAGACCTGAAAAGAAGCTCTTTACAAGTAAACATTCCTCTCCTCTGCTCTGTGTTCCCTTTTTGTGTGTCTCCCAGGTGTCTGAAGAGTCATGTCGAGCTCAGTTCCTGGTTCCTGTGACGGCTCAGGGACAGAACCGAGCCCAGGCCTCTCTGGAGCGAGCACAGAATCTCAATCCCATGGTGGAGGTCCATGCAGACTCGGACAAAGTGGAAGACAAACCAGACGACTTCTTTCTGCAGTTTGATGCAGTGAGTAGAATGATGTTGAGGGTTTTTTTTGCCTCCAGTGGACAAAGTGGTTCATCTTTATCTCTCTGCTCATCTTGTACTGCACATGTGTAAGCAGTGTTTGAAGAGTCAAAAGTTTCACATGTGGTGAATCTTCTGGATGGAAAATGTCAACAAAGGCTGATGCAGCAGGTCGCTGTAAATCTCCAGAGTCTAACTCTGACCTGGTGGCAAAGATTAGAGTCAATATAACTATATCAAATAATCTTTTCTTTTTCTTTTCTTTTTTTTTTAAATCTGTGTTGCTGTTACGTTCCCCGAATAGCGAAGGGATGAGGGGAGTAACAATAATAATTGAAAATCGGGAATGAAGAAAAAAGACGCGAATTTAGAAAAACTAACTAAGCTTTAAATGGATAAACAATTTAACTGACTGTAAGCTTCTTTCAAGAATAGAAGCCAACAACTGATAAACTGAAACACCAACTCAAAATCCTATTTAACACAAGCAAATAACTATAGCAACACCCTTCTTCCACTGAAGACGTAAGTTAAGTAAAGCTCTCGCTTCCACTCGATCACGGTTTGGACCCACTGGCCACTGCTTCCTCCTCTCTCCTGCTTTTATTGCTGAGTTCCTGGAGTTCTAAGTAGCATCAGGTGAGTTCAATCACCTATGGAGAGCACCAACCTGCAGAGCAACATGAGAGGGAAAGAGAGAAACAAAACACACACATACATTGCACTACGGTATGTAACAGATGCTCTCATTTGCTTTGTAGCTCATATGGAGGTGTTAGTCTCAACCAAAGCTCCTCTCTGAACACATTGTTTGGATTAACTTCCCTGATTTATTTAGTAATAAGAGTTTTTGATAGATGTCCAAATGTCGATCACACACAGTCCTGCTGCAGTGTACCTGTGACCGTGTTGCATCACTCAGTCTGACCACTAGATGGCACTTGAAGCACATAATATACAGCTCTCCTCGTTCTGCTCCGTCAGGCTGCATTAAGTTTATTTCTCTACACAGCTGCAGCAGCATTATTATTAGCTCTGCTTTGTTCTCTGATCAAAACTAATGTTGACTTTATCTGTCTGTTAGAACTGGTTTGTTTGTTGTATGATCAGCTGGATAATTACACAGTGAGGACAGTTTTCTGTTAAATGTCTGTGTTTTTCCTTATATGGCTCTGCAGCGTTTACAGCAGGGTTCAGTGGGTGGAGGATGGTGATAATGACACACTCACTCGTCTGAGGGTAGAGTTTATCGGCTGGCTGTTGAAAAGCTTTCGCTTCTTGTGTCACTGAGTTTGAAAAGTCAGACATGAGAGAACAGTGTTGATTGATTATAATAACACACATTAGGTTTTCTCTGCAAGGTGCCCAGGGTTTGATTCTCATTTATGACGACTTATATGAGCACACACAAGAGAAGTATATGTGCCTCGTGCCGCTCTCTATTTGGGGACATCGGGTCTGACACTGTTTACAAATGGAGATCATAAAATAACTGCACTGTGCTGTTTCTTAAAGTTTGTGCTCACGCTGGATTAACACTCTTTTATTCCCACTGCAAAACACATTTTAAACAAGGCTAGATAAGCAGTGTTTTTTGAATGCTGTGCACATGTGGTTTTACCTATTTAGGGTACTTTTAGCTATTTATGACCTAATGTGAATGTTTTCATGTTACTGAGCCTCAACAAAAGGTCATTTTCTGTCACAATATGATAGACAATAACGTTTTTTGAATCTTTGAATGTTGAAGTGTGGGAAATCTAGCAATTCTGTTTTCCTGCTCACTCGTTCAAAAGCTGGTCTTCCCACCCCGATGACCCGGTATGATGACATCATCATCAACATCATATTGTTTTGGATTTATTATAGATTCTGACACGTGCAGCCATCCATCTCCAAACTTACTTTGAACTTAAAGAGGAAGCTGGACAAAATGATAACATGACTTCTTTAAATAAGTAGCATGAAGCCGGGCTTGATTCCCTTTGTTGAAATGAAATCCTCAGTCAGTGAAGCTGATGTTCAAAATGCTTCAGATGGAAATCATTCTGACATAATGGGAACAAGATAGTACAACAAACAGTGTGATTATATTTACATATCATAAGGAGTAATAAATGTCAGATGGTTTGATTTTATAGCATCACATTTCAATACTTAGTATTCCACAAGCAGCTACACACACACACACACACACACACACACACACACACACACACACACACACACACACACACACACACATTGACTGGATTATCTATCCCCACCAAAGGCATGAATGTTTCCAACACATCATCAGAAGAATAACAGAGATTTTTTTCCCACTCCTGTTGTGTCTGAATTGTCGACTTTTTTTCTTCCCCTCAGGGGGTGTGAAGTAAAGGTCGGGAGGAGGGAGGAGGGAGGAGGGAGGAGGGAGGAGAGAGAGAGTTGTGAGAGGAAGACGGAGGAAGATAAAAGTAGGACAAAGTGAAGTGAGGACGGCGTGTGTGAGATGGATTTTTAGTGGGACAGAGAGGGAGGAGAAGGTCGCTCAGTTTTCAAGAGCTCGAGATAAAATGTGTTAAAACTGTGTGTGTGTGTGTGTGTGGGGGGGGGGGTCTCTGTCTGGCTCTGCTGTAGACCACTCGTCTCTTTCATCTGCTTCCATGGATGTGTCTGTGTGGCTCAGTGAGAAAGTGGAGGGTGATTAAAGTGGAGCAGTTGGAGTGTGGTCACAGTTTTCATACGAGGGGACGAGTACAACAGAGAAACACACACACCGTCCATCTGGGAGACAAGCAGACTTACTGCGCACACACACACACACACACACACACACACACACACACACACACACACACACACACACACTCTGTTGCTCTATTTTGCATGTTTGCAGGAAGGTGTTTATTTTTTGCCCTGATTCATGCGAGAAGGAAACACAAATAACATTACGAAAAGTCATCTATTATGCAAATATGTTTTCAGTTTCTTACACACAATACACCCTGAAAACGTGATCTGTTTTACTTTTTAATTCTTCCATAAAACTCTGATTTTGCATTCAGAGGTTTTCCATGAGATGCAATGGAAGTTGTTGTACTGTTTAGTTAATTAGTGTAGGTGACCAACAGACCAACACAGTGGAGGTTAAGTTTAATAAATGTTAAACATTTGATTTATTTACAAAATTTGATTTGAGCCTCTCAAACACTGTTTACAACATTTCTCTGAAACGCTCTTTCTTCTTAGATTAAGTCCTCGTTTGTCTTGATATATTTTTGATTTAAGGACATGTCAAATGGAAGCTGTAAATAAAGCTGACGTATGAATTTGAGTCCTTTAAAGAGAGAAGGAATTAAGAATCCAGAAAAGACTTAAAGGGATACTTCACCTGTTGAAACATGAATCTGGATTGACATTGGGTCATATATGTAGAAATGTGAAAGACATTTTGAAGTTGGTGCCTTCTTGGCCGAGAAAAGGCAAAAGTGTATTTTTGGTTCATGTGGATGAAAGACACCAAATCCCAGAATGCACAGCAGGCCACTGCCTGAAATATTTAGTCTTTCTCATGAAGATGCTCCGTCAGCGCTAAGTGAGTAAAAGATGAATGAGGCTGACTTTTCATCAAATCCTTCCTGATTCTAATGCATTCCAGTGAACACTGGTTAGTACTGGTGATACTGGTGATGCTGGTCATACTGGTGATACTGGTGATGCTGGTCATACTGGAAAGTGATCAGACGACCCGCCTCTCTCTGATCAGCTGTTCGCTCTGTGTGTTCTTCGTCCCTCAGGTGTGTCTGACAGGCTGCTCCAGAGACCTCATGGTGCGGGTCGACCAGCTCTGTTCTCAGCGCGACATCAAGGTGTTCTGCGGGGACGTCTACGGTTACTATGGTTACATGTTCTGCAACCTTGGCCGTGAGCACAACTATGTCGAGTAAGTGCGGGAAGACATTTTTGAAGCATGTTTTTTTTTTTTTTTTTTACCTGTGACAGTCACACGGTTACATAACGGACACGTGAGCCGTGGGTGAAATGATTTTAGACTTTAAGATATAGATATATAACTTAAAGCAAAGACAAAGACGACTCGCACTGCAGGGCTCCAAATGTTTCCAGGGAGACGTATCGAGCACACCTCACCGCCATGTTTTCTGATGTGTGTTCATCATCTTTTACGTCACTCTCTTTTTTTCTGTTTTCAGGGAGAAACCTAAAGTCGTGAAGCCGAAGGGAAATTCTAACGACGGTCCAGAGGCGAAGAAAGCCAAAATCGACCCCAACGAGACGACCATGTTGAAGAAGGTAGGAAGATGATGATCTATTCGGCTCACAGAAACGACATCACGGGGTCGTGACTCTGTAAAATAGACGATGGTGGAAGTCAACAGAAGAAACGTAAAGATTCAAGGAGTGGAAAGTGTTGATGAAAATGTATCAAATAAAAAACTTCTTCTTGAAACGGTCTTTCTTCTGAGCTGTTTATGACAAACGTTTACATGTAAGTGATCTCCCTGCACACTTGAAAGAGGTCTTAGAGCATTTGCTTTGAGACGCCTGTAGTCTAGTGGTTAGAGCGTGCGCCCCATGTACGGAGGCTACGGGCCGCCCAGGTTAGAATCCGAACTGTGGCTCCTTTCCCGCATGTCAGTCCCCCTCTCTCTCTCTCTCTCTCTCTCTCTCTCTAGATTCACATTTACAGTAATCCTTACCAACACCTATACATTATTTTCCCAAACTAAAATTGTACTTTCCCTCTTTCTTTTCTTTTTATCTTGCACCAATCAGACATCGAGTTATTGCTCCCTGAAGGAGGCTCTGGAGGTGGACTGGACGAGTGAGAAGGCCAAAGCCGGTATGAAGCGAACACCGGTGGACTACTTCCTGCTTCACGGTACTCAAAGCATGATTTCAAAATGTAAAAGCAATGTTGAAATGAATCTCTCTGTACCTGAATGTGCAACAGGTGGTCAAAACTTAAGACAACGAGAAGAGCTCTCTGTAAACTGTCTCACTTTATGCACACAAATTAATTTGATCATTCAGCGTTTCGGTCTAACAGAGACAGAAACGTTATGTCTGCCAACACATCTAACATTTCAAACTACAAGAATACTTCTGAGATTTCTGCGTAGGAGGAAAGACACAAACAGAATTTCCGTTCAGAGGATCGATCAAAAATAACAAAGACTCCTGAGAGGTGTTAGAGGAGTCTAGAAATGTGAACCTGGAAATGTGTGGGAACGTTGCAGAGACACTGAAGTCGCTCATGAAGCTGAAAGGCGGTCACTGCACGGAGAAAAAAGTTTGAACGTCAATTACTGCATGAGAAGCTTTACTACGGAAGCCTAAAGTGGACATGCAGCAATACTTTTTATTGAACTCCAACCTCCCATAACAGCGGGTTAATTTCAGCACTTTTCTAGAAATTCTGAGAAATTATTCAATTCCGTTCGGAACTTCAGTTGTGTAAAAAAGCATCAGTGGGCACACAGATCATATGAATGTGAGCTCAGCACTGAATCAAACCACACACACACACACACACACACACACACACACATTAACTCGATATCACAGAAAAACAGACTTTTAATGTCAAGATAACAAGATAAATAAGTTGAGATTTAAAAAAATAAATTCTTGTTATCATGGAAAAGGGAGTAAAATAAAATGTGTTCATGCATGTCTCCATAGGGCTTCCGTACTTTAAAACAAAATTAACAATTAATAATGTCACTCTGAGTTGCACGAGCGTCTTCACATGTGACCAGACGTCAGATGTTTGGGAGCGTTCACCTTTTGCGTTTTTTTGACCCCTGAAGTCAAATGTGAAAGGTGACTTCCTGTTTTCAGGTTATTTACGTCTGATGACCTTCTTGTCTGGAGTTGTTATTGTGCCTCATGTCACCTGTTCCTGCACCATCCTCACACACTGCATGCATGCTAGTTTCCATCACAGGCTGTCCATGACCAGTCATGTGCACTGAGCAGAGAACAGAGAACAGCCCGACACCTACGAGACATCGCACGACCAGCGGCATGCGACCAGGAAATAAGACGAGACATGGTTCATATGTGCAGACTTTAACATCCAGAAAAGTTCATGCATAAATCTAGTGACTTATAAAACTAAACCTAACAATGCATTCATGAAAGTTTTTCACAATAAGAGTCATAAAGAGTTTAAAATATGCATCACTTACACTCTTTGCAAAAAAGGAAATTTTTGTTTTTCTAACATGTTGTTAACTTTATAGAGTCTGAATAAAACTCACTGAAAGTGTAATCTCATCAGTGAGCCTCTGACAGGAAGCAAACATTAAAGAAACACATGTGAGGAGTTATAGGACGGTCATCTATTGGACGTTAGCAACTTCAGACAGAACCAGAGGAGCCGCTGTGAAACCGAAGCAGGGCGTTAAATAATTCAAGAAAACATAAATTTATGGTGTTTTTATTCCAGGTCAGCTCAATGTGAAGTTTGTTAAAGGGGTGTTTTTGTTTTCCATCCACACTCGATTTTGAACATCTTAACCTTCAGTCTAAACCCCCCTCTCTCACACACACACACACACACACACCTGAAACCCAGCTACCCTCAGCAGCCTTACCCTGTTTTCAGGATGATGAGCGTCGGGTGGAAAAACCGCCCAGTTGTTGTTTTATTTAGTAAATGAGAGACAGGAGGGAGTGTTTTTTTATTCCTTCACTGTTGCTATTATTGGAGCTAGCGGTTGTTGTTTTGGGGCGACCAATGAGGAAGTGGCTCTTCCTCTGTTACAACTGCTTCCTGTCTCACTAGGAACAGTCGGGTGATCAGAACCGCAGTCCGCAGATGATGTGTGTGTGTTTACATGTGTCTTTTATCTATATTATAAAAAATGTTTAATATAAGTTTAACACATTAAGTAAGCATGAGAAATGATGAGGACAGCACAAACATATTTATACTGATAAATGTATTTATTCAAGTATGTAAGACTAAAGTACTACTGAATATATCTGAAATAAAAACACGTCTTAATCTGATTGAGTCAAGTCAAACTTTACCATCCTAAAGCCGATGTTTGAGCTACTGTAAGTACAAATGTGCGATGACTTTAAATTGAAGAAATGCACCATACATAAAGTTTTGTGCAAATTCAAGCTCGTCCTGCAGGCAGAAGTGTCTTTATGGGTCCTTGAGAAGGGCTGTTCAGAACAGTTCATTACATCCTGGGGTTACCTGACCGACCTCTCTCAGAGGTCAGCGAGCTGCAGCTGATCTTAGACTGTAAATATGAATGTTTGAAGCCTGAGTGATGTCGCCCGTCATTTTCAGGGTTTACAGCAGCAAAGAGTCATTACAGAGCTGCAGTCATTGCACATGTATATATTATACAGTCTCAGGAGTAAAAAGTACCACACACACACACACAGTGCACATAAAACACTGAACATGTTATATTGCAGCTTGTACATCAGTATTTGAGGACTTCATAATATGATTGCATGATATGATGAGTGTTTGTGGTGAATTTATTTCCAGCGTGTGCGTGCTTTCTTTTATCTCTATTATGTTGCAATATGACCTGTGCTTAAAAATACCACCACACCATTTAAGATGGGGGTAAATAATGTTTCACATCAAAAGTATTTGACCTTCTCATGCAGAGGAAATCAAAGGGTCCATGTTGAATATATCGCCTCCACTTTATCCTGTAATGTGTCACTACTCGGTGTGTCGGTTTGGAGATTACGATCGTTGTTCCATCCATGTGCTCGTTATTAGATCCTCTTATGAAACTCTGTTTTGATTTTTTTGACTGAGTTGTGATGCCATTTGTGCCAGCCTTTAACTTTCCTTTAAGTTTTAATCATTTAATTCGCTCTGTGTGTGTGTTTGTGTGTGTGTGTGTGTGTGTGTGTGTGTGTGTGTGTGTGTGTGTCAGTCATTCTGGTGGAAATGGCCGTGGGAGGACTTCCTCTTGCGGTTGAAGTTAATGGACGAACAGGAAGCACGGGGGCGAGGTGTTGATGTGTGTGGCAGAGTTAGAGAAGTCTGTTGGTGTTGATGAAATCTTCTTCAGGACCAAATAAAAGTGCACGTTTCTGATTTCTCAGTCGACCCTGCAGCACGACACAGGAAAGAGTGTTTCCTCACTGAACATGCACAGGTTGTGTGTGTGCAGCAGTCTTCACATGCACATTTTTAAATTTGATGTGGATAAACGTATGAAAATGGTTGATGGTGCAACCACACACTGATCTTATCGTGTCTGAAAAGAAAGCAGCAGACAAGATGAGACGTCTTTCCACGACATGATAATTGAGTGTGGCTGTCACTTATAATGCGTGATGAAACTACAGACGGCGTTAATGCAACAGATTACTGTGGATGGAAAATATTGCTCCACGAAAAAAAAAAAAAAGTTTCTCACTCTTGTTTCCAGACCTCTGAACGGTTCTTTTTCTTTCCTCCTGTTCATGTTACTTCCTCTTTTTAAGATCTCTCCGTCGTCTCTCTCCATCTCCACAGTTCTGCTGAAGTTTCGCACGGACAAAGGTCGTGACCCCGACCCACAGGCCTTTGCGGAGGACAGTCAGCTCCTGAAACAGATCCGGGATGATGTCCTGGAGGCCTTGGCCGTTCGGGCTGACCTCTTGAGTGATGAATTTGTGAGGTATGAAACGTCTTCTGACTTCAGTATCGCACCATTCTGAGAAAAAAAAAAACAACTGAGGCTCATTTGTAGTCAACAGATCTGAACGTGTTGAAGAAAGTCTCCAGCTACACTCACCCACTCACAACCCCCAAAACATCCTTTTCTAAATGTAGACATTTTTTTACACACATTGAATACTTTTAGAATCAAGGATAAAACTACAAACTCTTTACAAAGGTTTAGAAACATCATCTTATCGACAACTAACCAACAGAAACAAACCGGGTTGTTATCAACATTACTCTACGCTTCATGCAATGTCTCACTTTAGTCTTAACTAGGACGAAGAACAGGTGTGTATAACAAAACAAAGAGTGTATTTAGACTCCATATATACCGGGTAATCGTATCTCAATTGGTAATTTTCTTATCATATTAAACTCAAAGCTTTGAAAGCACACCTGAAAACACAGCAGCCATGATAATAAAGCCATAACAGTCATATCAGCCATAATAATGATACCTCAGTGACTGAATGAAAACAAAGCAGAGTCCATCTCAGGTCGTCCATTAACAGATCTGATGTTCAGCCTGAAGATCTCCGGCTGGCTGTGTTCTCTTTCCTCGAGTTTCCTGGAATAAATTCAACATTTACTTTCTCAGGATTTGTTTCTGTAAACACGTATGCATTGCATCTTATTGTAAAGCAAGGAAACAAGTCTTACCTGCTATCTGCTGTAGGTGAGGGTTTGATATTTTCACCTTCACATCCATTCTGGGAGGTCGGACAGACGCAGATCGTTGGAGAAAGAAGATAACTGAGGGAACTTTAAACATGGAGGTCATTAACGTGTTTTGTCAAGCAACTACACGGACAGTCCTGTCACTTATCTCTTTGAAGCTCCTCCCTCCCTCTGTATCCCTCTCAGCTGTTCCTGTTCCTGTTCACTCTGTGCTGCATAGTGTGTGCAGTAATTTAACCAAAATGTCAATCATGCCAGAAAATCATCCGCCTGGTCGACATAAAGACTCAAAAATCAGGTCTAAATCAGGCTGAAATCATAGAGTGTACCTCCGGTTAAATATTTTTTATATTTTCCCCAAAGTCTGAAAATCTGTGGTCTTGCCAACTTCTTGCCAGGGACTAAACAACTTCCTGAATAAGATTATCCACCTCCATCAGCAAATGCAAACTGTGATGATGAAAAGTCCATGTCCTCCACTGTCTTATGATCCTCGAGCAGTACCACACAAACCATCCCACAAACTACACAACGAATAGAACCAGAAAAACACTCTTACTGTAATTCATCAAAAAAGACATTGAATAAATATCATAAATAAAGATCGCATAGAGCTGTTTTAGAGGCTAACGGCAGTCAGGACAAAAGTGTTCTTCAGTCTGTTTGTCTGCATGTTGGAGGGATGTAACTCCGGCCAGATGGGAGCAGCAAGAACTCCAAATAAAAAGCAGATTCAGTTTATCTAGCATTTCAAAGTTGTGAGTTTAAACACATCAGACATTTCATTCAGAGTCGTGCCTGCGCAATCAGCAACACATTTTGAAAATGCCCAGCAACCTGTTTCTGTTTTCTTTAAAGAAGTCACCCATAACATCAGATAAATGAGAATGAAAGAACAGATTTAATAAAACAAGAATGAAACATATTCATCTGCCAGGCAGCAGCAGACAGTCACTTAATGATCAGGGGAGCTGGCAGGATGAAGACTTTTCTGTAAACTTTCTCACTTCCTCAGCATCATAATTTGTTTTTCTGTTCTGTTCGTCCTCAGCTTCTGCTTCTCTGAGATGTCTCCGGTGTGTGCCGTGGTGGGAGGAGTTCTGGGACAGGAAGTTGTCAAGGTAAACATTAGGGAGGTTTCAGTAACAAAGAAGGATCAGAGCTGTAGTCTTTGCGCTCGACTGTGAGGACCGGTATGATATTTACTCCGCTGTAGTAAAGATGGAGACGGTGCGGTCTGGTGTGTGTGAGCGCGTCAGCCCGTTGACAGGTGGCCACTCAGCTGGTTTCTGGGTCAGCTTCACAGAGACGGCAGACTCTGCTCAGTGTGTCCACAGAGATAAACAGTGTGACGCTCTGACGGCAGGAGGAGTGATTTATTCTGAAAAGAATCACCTCATTGATAACGCACAGTTAAAGAACATTATGGGAGCATTTCTGTGACATCCTTTGGATAACATCCACAGTGCTGATACTGTTTGTATTCACACACAGAATACAGGCTGATCTGATGAGATCTTTGTTTACATGTCAGAGGGGGAAAATGAAGTCTTTATGTTGCCGTATTCAAGGTCCGCTATAAGGAGAGGACAGTCACATCTGAGTGCTTTGCAAACGACTAATGAAGGATCCTCTACAGAACAGCACTGGCACGACTTTATTGATACGACTCATTTCACACACAGGGCAACAATATGCACTTTACATTCAGACACTATTTATAAAAGAGCAAATCAAGAAAATGTAGTTGTACAAAGTTCAGAGCAGGAAGAAATACAAAGATCAAAATATAAATACATGCTAGCACAAATAAGCACTCTCAATCTGCTTTTTAACGTTTTCAGTAGTTTTATTTAATTTTTATTTAATTTATTTTAATTTTAATTTTAATTTTAATTTTATTTTATTTTTATTTAACCAGGTTGGTCCCATTGAGATTGAAAACCTCTTTTTCAAGGGAGACCTGGCCGAGACAGGCAGCAGCAAACACAAAGTTACAGACAGAAATACAAAGAGAGACAGAACTCTACATTTTGGATTAAAACAGAACCATCTATGAGTCATATCAGGGAGTCAGTAGTTCAAACAGACGAGCTAAAACATCCTGTAGAATCTGCTTCCATGTCTTTCATTTTTAGATTTAAAAACATTTAAGGACACCAGCTCCTTGAGCTTTAAGTCGTTCTGCAACAGATTCCAGGCTGAGGGTGCAGAATACCCAAAAGCCTTTTTCCTCAATTTCTGTCTGAGCGTTTTGGGACGGAGAGCATAAAGAAGTCCTGAGAACGCAAAGAGTTCTCTGCATGATAAAAAACACATTAGATACAGTGTTTCCCCTCGGTTTACAGCGTTGGGGGGGTGGGGACACGACGACACAACAACACGACAACACGGCGACAACACAAACACTTGAAGGAATCTTGGTGTTCATGCGTTACTTTTAATGACAGCTGTCCTTTTCTATCGGAAAGGTATCCTTAATTGACTTATTTCCCTGATTTCCGACTCTATCCACTATCCTATCTCTACAATAAAGGCACAAAAAGCCCAAAAATAAATCTTTAAAAAAAAAAATATATATATATTATAATATACATATTAATAAATATATAATATAATGGTAGGGGAAACACTGAGCTAGATAGAGTTGTCGAGTCCTCTCTCAGGTCTTCAGGCAGACGTTACGCTGATGTTATATATTTGATGTATCATCTCAGTGAATCTTTGATTGCTGGATATCATGGTGCGTTGAGGCTCATAACAAATCTCAGTGCCCTGACTCATCCTGGTACTCTGTATGATCCGGTCAGCTGGTCTGCATTTCCTGGAAGCTTCAGACTTAGCTCTGAGACCCTCTCACAAAAAGTTGTTGTTGTCTGTTCTCATTGTGAGTCTTGACATGAGGAAAAGGATCTTCAGATACGCTGGAATCTCCTGCAGGAGGATCTGTGTCTGGGGGAGCTGATGAAGATGCTTCAGGCTGTAGATGTTTTGAATATTTACTTTGCTGCTCTCTGACTCAAGATATTCTGATCTGTGTCTGTCATTGTTGTTTATGTGCTGCTGCCCCTCTTGAACAGGACTCTCTTGTAGCTGAGATTCTTAATCTCAAAGAGGTTCTCCTGGTTAAATACATTTCTAAAAAATAAGTAAGGGCGATCCATCTATCTGGGACACTGATGCTGAAAAGCAGCCTCCCCTGCTTAGGAGTTTGTCACATATTTCAGAAACTGATGTGGTCACCTTGTTGTGGCTAAGAGTGAGAGTTGATAGTTTAACAACAAGCGGAGGGTACAAACATATCAGGATATAAACAGTGTAGTTTAAAAAGGTCAAACGTGATCATTACATTCATCATTCATGAATTTGGATGAACTCATCTTGAAGAATGCACATGGCCTGTTATCTCATGTGATGACTTTTGTTTTTGTCGGATTTCTCGACTGTTTCTGCTGAATTATTGAAAAGCTCTAAATTTAGGTTTCGATGTCTGACCTTCATGAGTGAGTTCATGAGTTTTCCTCTGAAGGGATTCGCAGACTGTCTGGTTACCGAGGTCGTTGGAATGGTTGAGATTCACCTCACAGATAGAAGAAAGAAAAAAAACTGCATCATTATTTAATGCACATAGTCTGACACACAAAGTTTCACCGGTGTGTGTGAGGAATACTCAAAACACTGAGCTGTGTGCACGCTGACCTCAGGCTGAGTTCAGTTCAGAGAGAGAGAGAGAGAGAGAGAGTGTGTGTGTGTGTAAGAGGGAGGGGACAGACGGTAAAACATCAGACTGTCTTATACTGGCACAAGGGCAGCTTACCGTCCCGATGATGATGATGATGATGATGATGATGATGAAATCTGCTGTAACTGGCTGAGCGATGTCTGGCCGGGTTAATCTGACTGATTTCACACAAAGACGTCTGAACCTCTGACCGCTTTGAAGGGACCGTGTTTACTGTGGATGTCCCCTCGGGGGTTGATGGGAAATGTAGTTTTAATCGTGTGTGCGTGCGTGCGTGCGTGCGTGCGCGCGCGTTACACACTGACTCCTAAAGCCCAGTTCTTCAGCTGCTCTGTGCAGGCAGTGCCTACATATCCCAGGATGCATTGTGGCAGAATTTACAAGTCAGCTAACAATGTTAAATGTAGCCTCATCAACAACACATGAAGTCATGATTTGATTGATTGATTGGTCGATTGATTGATTGATAGGACTTTAGTGTTAAACAAAGTCTGAAATTGAACGTGCATCACAGCGTCTCCTTTTAAAAACATTTCAAACACAAAACAAAAATAAAAGCGCCTGCAATCCTCTTTATTTGAAAGGAGTGAGGAAGTAGAAATGTATAACCGTGGTCATTCATTAAAGGTGTAATCGATCTCTCCCCTTTCTCTTTGTCTTCTCCTTCAGGCTCTGTCCCAAAGAGACCCTCCTCACAGGAACTTCTTCTTCTTCGATGCTCGTAAAGGGAACGGCGTTGTGGATTACTTCGGACCAAACTAAACCAGTTTCACACACACACACACACACAGAGACGGCAGACTTCTCTTTTTTTGTACCTGTAGTTTGCTGCGTCAGATTATTTATGTCAGTTCCTTCTCCACAAATCATCAAATACATCTGTTTGTTTCTTTTTTGTTGTTGTTGGATCTCAAGTACACCTTTGGATTTTTTTTATTACATTTGCTAATAAAACATTGTTGAATAAGAACCTTCTGATGTTTCTGGACTCATCATGTTGTCAGCTTGGACTTTACACTGGTATGCTATCACACCTGAAATAATCACACCTGTAAGACAAAATGATGCTCAGACACTCCTGCTTCGCTTTAATCACAAGAACTGGATCTTATTCTGTCAATCCTGTCAAAGTAGACGACCCTTTACTAGCCTGCTGTAGCTGCATGTTCTGACAGATAAAGACAGCTCCTGTGCATTCAGTGTTAATTCATTTTCAGATTTAGAAACATGGAGGTAAGACCCAAAAATAAGATGAACTTCAACATCTGAGTGATGGCTCATGATGCCGATCCTGTCGTAAAAAAGCAAAACCTAAATTCTTGATTTGTAACTTAATTTAATTTATCGATATCCTAACTTTGTGCACAGTTCAGTGTTCTTTCATGGTGTATGTTTTACAAGTTTATATTTGTCCCATCTTTGATGTGCACAAGCTTTGTTTAAAATAATAAAAGGCCTGTCTCGTATCAACCCTAGTCCCAAATAAAGACATTCAGGGTCATTTCACAGAGTAAAGGGGAATTAAAGTCTGAGCTTACTGTAATTAGACAAAATTAGACATTAAAAAACACAAATAAGAAATAAGAGTCACCAACAAACACATCAGGGAGAACATTTACATCTTGACATGTCCACCTCAAAGTCTTTAAACATCCTCTTGAAAGTGTCCAATGAGAGCAGCTCGTTCAGTCTCAACTCTTGTTTTTTTAACTCTTTTTCCTCGGTTCAGTTCTGACTTTTGGATCGGACAGTATAAGAAAAGGTCCTGACATTGAGGATTACAAGATTAGAACTGTCACCAACTGTCACTGTGAATATACATATATGTATATACATATTATTTAATTTAAATGATAATACACACACTTATTTATGTAAATACTGTAATTGACATCTTAATTGACTCATCTGTCACGTAACTGCATTTTTCTTATTATCATGTTACTTCAGCATCTTTTGCACTATTCACCACTGCACTGTTTCATGTTTAGTCATGTAAATATTAGTCTTTTCTTATTATGTTTATTGTTGATATTTAATGTTGTACCTGTACATAAGAGAGCACAGTTCACCCAAGTAAAATTCCTAAGCATACCCGGACAATAAATCTGATTCTGATTCTGAATCTGAAGTCCCTGTACTCTTCTGACTGATGCAGGTCAGACGGTCTGAAGAGGATGAATTTAACTTTCTCCTTTTCTTCTTGAGGAAGTCAAATCTTTCCTGAATGTGACCTGACCAGAAAACTCTTCAATCAGAGATGTGGGGCGGCTGTGGCTCGGTTGGTCGAGGGTTCAATCCCCAGCTCCTGCAGCAACATGTCTGATGTGTCCTTGGGCAAGACAAGTATTAACATTTTAACCCTGAAATGCTAAGATGAATATGAGCAGGAAAAACTCAAACATGTAGTTTGGTTTATGGTGGATAAGATTTTATTTTGAAAATGTTCTTTAAGGGCGATTGTATGAGTGTTTGGGTCGTACTGATCAAGTCAAGCTTGTTTCAAATCTCAGTTGTGACACATAAAAATCAGTGTGTTTGGTTTATGTAACGTTCAGTGTGAAGGGGAAAGTCAGCTGATCCATGTTGCGGTGGAGCTTCAGAGCGTGTGACTGTATTTGGTAACAGCATGCGACTCATCAACACCAAACATGGCAGTACAGTGTTTCAGTGACAGGGTGGGGCCTCAGGACAAACTTTAACCTTTCTTCATCCTCCCAAATAAGGCAAAAACAAAAACAACAACATCATAACAAAGCAGCAGCAGCATCACAGGGGGAAAACCGGCCGCATGGTCTCGTGTCTGACATCAGCCCCTGGGAGTGGCGGCAGGTTGAACCTGTGAAACCTGAGCTGCAGAGATATGCCTTACCATAGATGGCAAAAAAATGCCACTTTATTGTGATGCCGTTTAACGTCTGCAAGTGCTGACTGCTCTGATTTCAAACGGACGATACTGCAGAGGAAGTGCTGAGTCATCCTGCTGGTTTAGCTTAAGTTCACGTTGGCAGTAAAATGCATCCATGTGTTTCACCCACTGTGCAGGATTTTTTCTATTTGCACACAAAACTTTTATAACATGTTTGAAATGCTTTTTGACAAGCTTAGTCATCTACTGGTTTTTTTTAAAGTTGTTCCTCTTTTCTTCCTTCTGTCTGCATGTAACTGTGTGATTTATATAATCAGGTAAAGGCACTTTGAAATGCTGAAGAAAAACGGACAATAAAAGTATCAAGTTGTGCATCAATAGGAAAAGAAGCTGAGGATGTGAAAGTCAAAATAACCAAGAGTCTGATCAAATATTATTTAAGCTACTTTGTGATATTTACCTTTCTAGCTGCCATTTCAAAGCTTTCTGATTTCATCTGATTTTCATTCCATCGAGTGATGGTTAGTTTAGTGACTGCTTGCTTTGGATTGGCTGTGAAGGGTCTGTTACAACATCGTGTTGTTGAAAAGATCTTCCTGATTCCAAGTGTTGTTCTTTTTCTGCTCTTACCTTCTTGTTGCTGTTCTCTTTTTATTTGCTTTTATCTCTTTTAGTTTCTTACATCTTTTTAAATCTTTGCTCCTCTTGGTCTCAGCTCGTGTTGTTGGGTTCTTATGATGGTTCTTATGATAGTTCTTGTGTTGCCTGGGTTCTTATGATGGTTCTTGTGATGGTTCTTATGATGGTTCTTATGATGGTTCTTATGATGGTTCTTGTGATGGTTCATTTGATGGTTCTTATGATGGTTCTTATGATGGTTCTTATGATGGTTCTTATGATAGTTCTTGTGTTGCCTGGGTTCTTATGATGGTTCTTGTGATGGTTCTTATGATGGTTCTTATGATGGTTCTTGTGATGGTTCTTGTGATGGTTCATTTGATGGTTCTTATGATGGTTCTTGTGATGGTTCTTGTGATGGTTCTTGTGATGGTTCTTATGATGGTTCTTGTGATGGTTCTTGTGATGGTTCTTGTGATGGTTCTTATGATGGTTCTTGTGATGGTTCTTGTGATGGTTCTTGTGATGGTTCTTATGATGGTTCTTGTGATGGTTCTTATGATGGTTCTTATGATGGTTCTTGTGATGGTTCTTGTGATGGTTCTTATGATGGTTCTTATGATGGTTCTTATGATGGTTCTTGTGATGGTTCTTGTGTTGCCTGGGTTCTTATGATGGTTCTTGTGATGGTTCTTGTGATGGTTCTTGTGATGGTTCTTATGATGGTTCTTGTGATGGTTCTTGTGATGGTTCTTGTGATGGTTCTTATGATGGTTCTTGTGATGGTTTTATGATGGTTCTATGATGGTTCTTGTGATGGTTCTTATGATGGTTCTTATGATGGTTCTTATGATGGTTCTTGTGATGGTTCTTGTGTTGCCTGGGTTCTTATGATGGTTCTTGTGATGGTTCTTGTGATGGTTCTTATGCTGGTTCTTGTGATGGTTCTTGTGATGGTTCTTGTGATGGTTGTTGTGATGGTTCTTATGATGGTTCTTGTGATGGTTCTTGTGATGGTTCGTGATGGTTCTCGTGATGGTTCTCGTGATGGTTCTCGTGATGGTTCTTATGATGGTTCTTGTGATGGTTCTTGTGATGGTTCTCGTGATGGTTCTTGTGATGGTTCTCGTGATGGTTCTTATGATGGTTCTTATGATGGTTCTTGTGATGGTTCTTATGATGGTTCTTATGATGGTTCTTATGATGGTTCTTGTGATGGTTCATTTGATGGTTCTTATGATGGTTCTTATGATGGTTCTTATGATGGTTCTTATGATGGTTCTTATGATGGTTCTTGTGTTGCTTGGGTTCTTATGATGGTTCTTGTGATGGTTCTTATGATGGTTCTTATGATGGTTCTTGTGATGGTTCTTGTGATGGTTCATTTGATGGTTCTTATGATGGTTCTTGTGATGGTTCTTGTGATGGTTCTTGTGATGGTTCTTATGATGGTTCTTGTGATGGTTCTTGTGATGGTTCTTGTGATGGTTCTTATGATGGTTCTTGTGATGGTTCTTGTGATGGTTCTTTGATGGTTTTTATGATGGTTCTTGTGATGGTTCTTATGATGGTTCTTATGATGGTTCTTGTGATGGTTCTTGTGATGGTTCTTATGATGGTTCTTATGATGGTTCTTATGATGGTTCTTGTGATGGTTCTTGTGTTGCCTGGGTTCTTATGATGGTTCTTGTGATGGTTCTTGTGATGGTTCTTGTGATGGTTCTTATGATGGTTTCTTGTGATGGTTCTTGTGATGGTTCTTGTGATGGTTCTTATGATGGTTCTTGTGATGGTCTTTGATGTTCTTATGATGGTTCTTGTGATGGTTCTTATGATGGTTCTTATGATGGTTCTTATGATGGTTCTTGTGATGGTTCTTGTGTTGCTGGGTTCTTATGATGGTTCTTGTGATGGTTCTTGTGATGGTTCTTATGCTGGTTCTTGTGATGGTTCTTGTGATGGTTCTTGTGATGGTTCTTGTGATGGTTCTTATGATGGTTCTTGTGATGGTTCTTGTGATGGTTCTTGTGATGGTTCTGTGATGGTTTTGTGATGGTTCTCGTGATGGTTCTTATGATGGTTTCTTGTGTGGTTCTTGTATGGCTCGTGATGGTTCTCGTGATGGTTCTCGTGATGGTTCTTTATGATGGTTCTTATGATGGTTCTTGTGATGGTTCTTGTGATGGTTCTTTGATGGTCGGGTTCTATATGTCTGTTGGGTATCGTGCACTTTGGGTTCTTTTCTGTTGAATTGTATTTAATTATTTTTAGTATTTTATTGTTATGTTCTTGCTGTTGTTTATGTTCTTCTGTGTTTGGTTTAGTTTGTTTTTGTTTTGCTGTTTGTCAAAGCACTTTGTAAACCTGTGTTTTTAAAAGGTGCCTATATAAATAAAGTTATTAATTATTTTATTATTATTATTATTATTACCTCTGAAACTGTGATTTTCTGCACTTTGGTACTTAACAAAACGATCTGAGAAAGAAACTTCCCTTTTCAT